ACATCTGCCTCTACCCTGAAGATACAACTTCTCCGATTGCCCTCTCAGACGGATGCTGTTCATTCTTCTACATTCTTAGTAGCTTGGAGTTGAGAAACAGGAATTGCCTTGCTTATCCTCTAAAGCTATTTCTAGTACATTATCAAAGGATTATAAGAAAACCTGTGTTTTTCTGAGGCTTTGGAGCATCTAGCCATCCTCCCTTCCCCTTTGTCTTATTGTTGGTATCTACTAGCCTCCTATCAGCATCTGGTTCACAGTCTTGCCCCTCTGTTGTAAGTCTTGCATTAACCACTTCTACGTCCACCTGGGAAACTCATTCCACACCCTACCCAGTGTTCCTCAAAGTGCTGTTCACCGACACCAGAATCATCTTAGGTGCTCATTAAAATGTGGATTCCTGGGCAACACGCATACCTCTGAACCAGAATATCTGGTTTTGCACAAGCCCAAAAATCAAACTAAAGACTAAGATTAGTAGACTGACTACGAATTAAAAAAGTCTAACTATATTCTGTTTACAAAAGACACATCTTAAATATAAGGACACAGAAAGCATGAAAGTTAAAAGACAGAAACAAAATACATCACTCAAACACTAACCAAAAATAACGTGGTATAACTATTTTAATATCAGACAAAATAGACTTCAAGATAAGATATATCACCAGATATACAGAGAAACATATCACAGTGATGAAACATTAAATCCTTCAGAAATTTAAACATTTTAAAATTAATACACACCTAATAACATAATCTCAAACTATATACATGAAAAACTGACAGAACTAAAATGAGAAATAGACAAGTCCACACTTATAATTGAAGACTATAACACTCATTTCTTAGCAACTGGTGAAACAAGCAGTCAAAAAAATTAGTAAAGATTTGAACAAAATAATGAACAAACTTGACCTATTTAATACACTGCATCCAACAATTACAGAATACAAACTCTTTTCAACTGCACATGGAATATATACTCAAATCGACGACATAATGGGACAGAACACAAATTTCAAAGGATAAAACCATACAGTGTATGTTCTCCGAGCACAAGGAAATTAAGCTAGAAATCAATAGTTAAAATATAACAAACATTCTTGGAAATGAAGCAGTAGACTTCGAAATAACCCATGAGTCAAAGAAGAAATTACAATGGAAATCAGACAATACTTTGAGCCAACTAATAATAACCAAAATGTCAGGGATGCAGCAGTGGTCATACAGAAATTTAGACCTTAAGCTCTATAAGAAAGCCTGAGAAAGTAAATGAAACAATTACCCATTTTAAGAAGTTAGAAAGAAGACAGCATATTAAACCCGAAGACAGTATGCACATAGTAAAGGTAAAAACAGAAATTAATGAAATAGAAAATAAACATACAAAAAAAGCAACAAAGCCAAAAGCTGGTTCTTGACAGGATCTGGTAAGATTGATCAAGAAAATAAGATAAAACCTACAAATTACTCATACCAAGAATGAAAAGGTAATATTATTATAGATCCTACAGATATTAAAAGACAATAAGATATAAAAACAAATTTATTGACAATAAATTTGACAATTTACATGAAACAAGCAGATTATTTCAAAAACAAAAGTTACCAAAACTGACACAAGAAGAAATATAGAAATATTTTCCAACTATTAATGAAATTAAATGCTTATTTAAAAACTTCCCCCTAAGAAAAGCTTAGGCACAGATGGTTTCTCCTGTGAATTCTTTCAACTATCTAAGGAAGAAATAAAATCAATCTCACACAAACTCTTCCAGAGAACAGACAGAGAGATAATACTTTCCTACTCATTTTATGAGGGTAGCATACCCCTGATACCCAAAATCTACAAGAAGATTATAAGAAAGGAAAATGATAAGCCAATCTTTCTCATGAATTTACATGTAAATATCTGGAAAAAAAAAGTTAGCAAACTGAATCTATTGATATATGAAAAGACTCATACATCAAGACTAAGTTGGGTTTATTCCAGGAATGCAAGATTGGCTTAACATTTAGAAATCAATCAACATAATTTACCATAGTAACAGAACAAAGCAGGAAAATCATGATTATTATTAAAAAGCAACTGATAAAATTCAACACCCACTCATGACACAAAAGCTCATCAAAACAGGAATACAGGAGAATTTCTTTACACCCTCTCCTCACTTATCAACATGGTTAGGTATCAAAGACCAGGTCATTATGCAAAATCGGCTTTATGCAAAATGGAGGATGATTATGTCAGATTATGAAATGGAGGATGACCACATCATTACATAACTGCCAAAGCACTGAGAATCACAGTCCAGCCAAGCTGACACATAACCCTAACCATCACAGCCAATGTTACTCTCACTTGGTACCGCGGTGTTCATTACTGCCAGATGCATGTCATTAATATGCAAAGTAGTCTGATAGTAGATTTTTCACTATTGCTGTAAATGTGAAATGTTGGATGATGAGATAGTTGATAAGTGAGGAGAAGGTATAATCTGATAAAGCATGTTACTGTTGTTATTTCAACTCATGGTGACCCCATGGTTTCAGAGTAGAATTGCACTCTACAAGGTTTTCATGGCTGTGACCTTTCAGAAGCAGATCACCAGGCCTTTCCTCTGGGTGCCTCTGGGTGAGTTCAAACCACCAACCTTTTGGTTCGTAGCTGAGTGCTTAACCATTTGCGCTACCCAGGGGCTCCATTATATTGTAAATTTCCCCTAAGATTGGGAATGAGACAAATCAAATTCCCTATTTCTACTTCTATTCAACATTATACTGGAGGTTTTAGTCAATACAACAACACAAGGGAAAAAAAAATAAAGGAAAAGATAAATAACATGAGTAGACTGAGCTCTGGGTAGGGATGGGACTGAAGGGCAGGGCAGGGGTAATGGGGGGCCAGAAAAGTGAACCAAAGTTCAATTTCAACTCCAAACTGTAAAGCACTAGAGCCATTTTGCATCTATTAAGCTTCTCTGGTCCTCGCAACAAACCTGTAGGCATGCAGATGATATAAAAGGCTCAGAGAGGTAAACTGACTAGTCCAAAGTCACTTTTTAAAAAGCAAAAGGCATATGGGGGTTGACCTAGGATTTAGAGGTTCAAATCTAGATTCTTTTCAATATATCGTGCTCTCTCACAGAAGGAGATCTAGAAAAGTCCAAACGGAAATTGTGTCCAGAACTTACTACTGGTTCTCCCAAACCTAAGTAAAGTTGCCTTTGAACTCATAATCTAGGATTTGTTTTTCTTCTATATGTAGGGCTTTGGGCATTATGATGGGCTGAAATGATACACAGGTCCCCTCCTACTTCAAACTCATAGAAATGCTTGAAAAGTATGAAAACAAGAAAAAAAAGAGGTCAGACTCAAAGACAGAAAGGGAAATTCCCAGGCGATTGAAATGAAGAAAGAAAATCGGAGTGAGAAGTGGGAATTGGCCCAGATTCAGACACAGCCCCAGGGGCTGGTATTGGGAGTTTCAGTGCCCATCTAGGAAGAGCAGATCTATTTTCCAGCTTTTAACGCAAAGGTGTATGTGAATGAGTGATAACAACTAGCCTGCAGTTCCCTTCATGAAATCTGGACCCTTGGTGGGCTGCCCAGTCAGCCAGAGAGAGTAGGAAAAACTCTGTCCAGTGGCTCAGAAAAGCAGCAAAAACGTGCTGTCCGTCAAGAGCCTTGGGTGAGGGGTGGTAGAGAGGGAATAAAAGGTCCACAAGAAATGGAAACCTCAAGCCTGTGCCACACTCAGGTGCTGGGGGAATTTACATTACCTATACCAAAAAACAAACCAAACCATTAGCCATTGAGTTGATACAACTCATACTGACCCTATAGGACAGAGTACAAGTGCCTCATCGGGTTCTCAAGGAGCAGCTGGTAGATCTGAACTGCTAACCTTTTGGTTAGCAGCAAAGCTCTTAACTACTGTACCACCAGGGCTGTTACTTCCTTAATAAACCACTTAACAGTAAGTATGGTCTGTGAGTTTTGTGTGGCCACTGTAACAGATTATAGAACCCACAAGAGAAGTAGAGAGTGCCGTGGGAGGGACGGCTGGGGTCAGAATTGGTAAAATGTTGAAGAGCGGAGGTATGTCTGACCTCCACCTCATAGGGATCAGCCTTGGGCTGATCTTGATTCGCCTTATCCCTCCTGAAGTCAGAAGGGTTCTGATGATGTTACTACTACCACTACTCCCACCATTTTACAAATGGCTTCAAAGAACTGAAGAGAAATAACTGTCATTTAGCTAACTACTATTCCTACTTCTTTGTTTTTTAACTCAAAGGAGAGAGGTGTGCCAGCAGAAGAAAGACTTGCTCAGGTCTAGCTGGGATCAGAAAAGACCAACAACATCTGGGAAGATATTCAATGTAGTGGAAACTGCACCTCTATTTCCTAAATGTGAGATGGAACAGATGACCTAGACGTGAGGCTCCAAAAGCCTTTGCCTTGACACTGTATTTCCAGGCATAGCTTAAGTGAGCTCTAGATACATATCACAGTAATTAAAACTCACAGTAACTAAAATTGATGCCTCTGGAAACAGACTGAGTTCAAACCTTGGCTCTGCTTCTTATGAGCTGAGTGAATCTGGTCAAGTCCCTTTACTTCTCTACGCCTTAAGTTTCTGCACTATATCTCACAGTTTAAAAAAGATTAAATAAACAGACATGAAAAGGATTTAACACAGGGCCTGGTACACAGCAGGTGATTAATAAGATGGGACAGTGGTTACGAGCTCAGGCTGCTAACCAGAAGGTCAGCAGTTCGAATCCACCAGCTGCTCCTTGGAAATCCTATGGGGCAGTTCTACTCTGTCCTATGGGGTCACTATTAGTTGGAATCGACTTGATGGCAACAGGGTTTGGTTTAATATTATTACTTAGTCTTGTCTACAGAACTACAATTTGATCATGTATTAGAAGGTGCTATTGCCATCTTTAACGTAATTATTGAAAAACTAAAACGTAAAAGGCACATACTCTGACATCCACTGAGCAGCCCACAGTCCATGATGGATTTCCCAGCACTTGATTTTGGCATAAGAGATGAACTAGTGAAGATTTCCCAACACCTGTAAAAGATATAACACCCTATTCATGTAAGTATAAGAGGCAAGCTTGAAATCTACTCCGGCATGAGTAAGGTGGAAAATATGCAATAACGATATGCAAAGCATGGTTGTTAAAAGGGTATTCAAACTGTACCAACAATACAATAAACTGTATTGAATATGGTGAAAAAGACGGTCGAGAATAGTTCTCAAATTTAGCGTGCATCAGAATCACCTGGAGGGCTTGCTGAAACACACCAATTGCTGGTTCCCATCCCCAGTTTCTGATTCCGCAGGTCTGTGGTAAGGACCAAGATTCTGTACTTCTAACAAGTTCCCAGGTGATGCTGACGCTACACGTTCAGAGGGCTCATTGCGAAAACCAACAGTCTAGGGAAATTTCACGTAAACTAAATCCCTTCCTTTTGAATGATTTCACCTATTTAGCCTATTTTAGGATTGTAACATCTTAATGGATTTTAGAGGTAATTTCCATCGTGCATACCAATTTCACAGCTGCCTGTTAGACGGTCTTACGGATTGTTCCTGAGCACTGTCAATGACAGGGATTCACCATTTTATAATTTCGTACTTAGACACTCCAGTTTTCTCATATAGCGATTTAAAAACGTCAGCCAACCACTTGGCCTAGACTTCCATTTGGAAAAAGGGAGCAATTCTACTCCCTCCTTCACATTCTGATCCTTTACCTTCTTTTAGATCTCCTGGGCTCAGAGAAGTCTACTTACTAATGCTAACAGCAGCATTCCGAAATCTGTTTGAAGAGAAAACGGAATGAACTCTATTCTCACACCTGTGTGTGGAGTCACTCATTCACTTAACAGTATCTTGGGAATGCCACATGCCAAGCGCAGCTGGTGAATCTTTATGCATCACTGCCTGTATCAAAGATTTAGATCATCTCTTGGTGTGCATTATCAAGTATCAACCTTTCGCTTATGTTTATTTTTATAAAAAGCTGTATTTACAAAAAAATCTAGAAGACATTTATGTCTTCTAGAAGATGAAATCACTTGAAGACCACTACTATGTAGGCTTATCTAATTCCATAAGCAGGGTTTTTCTATAAACATGTTGTTATTGTGGTCATATCTACACTGTGTACTTAAAAACAACAGCATAGCATGAACGTAATTAATGTCACCGAACTGTACGTGAAGATTGTTGAAATGTCAAATATTTTGTTATATATATACTTACCACAATAATAAAAAAAACAACACAAGCCTTTGTTTACACAGCTTGTTCTGTCTGGAATATTCTACTCCCTGTTTCCATTGGCCTGGTGAATTAATCTTTCAAGACTCTATTATTGTAGTTGTGAAGTCTTTCCTGACTCCACACAGGTAGAACTAAGCACAACATCCTCTGGGTCTCTATGTACATTTTCCTACAGAGCACTTAAAACACATTGTTACATTTGTTTGTTTATAGGTTTTATTCACGCTGTTTAATTTTAAGCTCTTTGGGGTTTGTGGCTGTTTTACTCATCTTTTTATCTCCCGTGCTCAGAACAGGGTCTTAATTCATAATTACTTGGTGACTAAATTTTTCCATGTTATTAACAGAATCTTTATAAAAATTTTTAATGTCTCCATAGTATTTCAGAGAGTAGATATAATAATTTACTTAATTATTCCCTTGTTATTAGATACTTAGGGTTTTTTGAACTTTTCACTATCACTGCTTAAACTTTTGTTTAAAATTAGATTTCCGTGGTATAGCTCCCCAGCGGTGAAATTAACAAGTAAAAGGAAATGAACATTTAAAGTTCTTGACATATCTCCACAAACACCTTTCACCTGGTCACACTGCCACTAGCCACGTGGCTTCCTGTCTTGTTGCAGCTCAACAGTATCATGTTCCTCTTTTTCATCTTCATTAATTTGATTAGCGAAAATAGAAGTGACATCTTGTTTTAGTCTGCATTTTACTTTCTGGTAAAGATGTATTTTGTTCATCTTTGCTCATCAGTTGTTTCTCTTCTTTAATGAATTATCTGCTGATGTGTTCTGCCCATTTATCACTAGGTTTTAGTCTTCTTACCAATTTATGTGATCTCTTTATATATTAGAGACATTAACTCTCATGGAAACGAGTGAAACATTTTCCCAGGTTTCTTTTTATCCTTTTTACTTATTTTTTTACATACAGACATTTAAGATTTATGAGTACTCAAACCTAGCTTTGCCTTTGTATTTACTGCATTACATCTGATACTTGTAAACTTTACAGGGTATATTGTGGATTTTTGTGTTTGCATGTAGGTTTGTTTATATTGGAGGCACATATCTGGGCATTTAGCTATCAGCTCGATAAAAGGCTTGAGCTTCTAGTTTTAATTGTGTCAGGGTAAATATTTCTCTGCAGTACTACTGTATAGCTCTCCATGAATTAACTGCTTTAGTGGGTACGTCTTAGCTAACACTGGATGAAACTCTAAACAGTAAAAACAGTTGAAGTGCTAGGAATGGTAGCCAACTATTTATTTCTTTTAAAAATTTGGAGGGTTCTGATTTGAACTAAATTAGATCCAAAAAATGCACTAACTTGCTGGGGTGAGAAAAAGAGCCAAAATAATTCAATAGATGCCAACTCCAAATATAGTCGTAATGTATTAAAATCATCCCAAATCTCTGAAAGAACAAAGGGAAAACAGGATGTATGTGTTGGTGGGATTTTCAAGATGCTTTACTAATTTTTCAAATATCTTTATAGGGTACAAAGCAAGTCTCTAAATCCCAAGTTATTCCTTTATATAGTCGTGAAATCCTCAAAATTCCATGGGGGGAATAAGCCTTTATTCAAAAATAAACTTTGAGGTTTGAATACAAAGGCAGGAAAGTATAAAAAGTATATTCTAACCTGTCAGATAGGAAATAGCTGTTAAAAGGGAACTGATAAAGGCAATAACTGACTCTGCACGGGTAGTCTAACATCAGTGAACGCGTGACAAGGTCAATCACTTTCCTGGTGGGCAAGGCTGTGTCTTCTGTTTTTCAGCTAAACTACGGCAGGGAAAAAAAAGCATACTAATTGCCTGATTACTTTTCCACATTTTATGCAGCATATAATTCTACCCCTATATGTATTTCATTGATTTCACAGTTAAAACTCTAGCACCTAATACAGTGCCTGGTATGTAGCAGGCACTTAAGTATTAAAAAACAATCAATCAACCTACTAGTTTCAACAGTATTTAACATGAAGGATTTGTTACATGCAATAGAAAGAGGGAAATATAAACTAGAGAGAGGGCACCCTTCTTTACACGTCTTGAAGAACTGTTACCAATAGCTCTGTATTCCAGCCCTAACTCCAATTTGGTGATACTCTTGCCAAGTCCCTTCATGCCACTACTTTCTTCATCTGTAAAAATGAAACCACTCTATTAAATTAACTTCAGTACTACTTCAAAGTTTCCTGAAGAACTGGAGTTGACATAAATTGGATTATTCTCATAGAATTTCATATGCAACTTTCTTAGGGGAGTATTAAATGCTCCTTGTAAAATATTTTCCTACCTCCAATTTTATATAGAGTTTCTGTAAGACTAGTTTTCAAGCTCTTTGAGGCATGTCCTCGCTACCTCTAAGCATTTAGCAGTGTCTTTACTCACGGCACATATGCAAAAGATCAGTTCCAGAAAAGTACATCTAGGAAATGCAAGGTTAGCATTTTTTCCAAGTTCTTAAGGAGTATGGTACTAGGAGTTATGGTGAAGAAAAGGTGAGGTGGGAGGAGGGGGGGAAAGGCAGACTTCAATTCTAGTTTTCAAATGTCCAAGGGATCAAAATAATTTTAATATTAAGATTAAATTGGGCTCGCCATTAAGCCCCAGCTGCTTCAGAATATGGCCTTTATCTTAATTTCTCTATTATTCACAACCTAGCACACAGGAGGGATCAGTCCCTGGAGAAGGACATCATGCTTGGTAGAAAACCAAAACCAAACCCGTTGCCGTCAAGTCGGTTTCCACTCATAGCGACCCTACAGGACAGAGTAGAACTCTCCAGTAGAGTTTCCAAGGAACGCGTGGTGGATTTGACCTGCTGACCTTTTGGTTAGCAGCCGTGACACTTAAACACTAGAGGGTCAGCGAAAAAGAGTAAGATCCTCCATGAGATGGATTGACACGGTGGCTGCAACAATGAGTTCAAGCTTAACAACGACTGTGAGGATGGCACAGGACCAGGCAGTGTTTCTTTCTGTTGTGCACAGAGTCGCTATGAGTTGGAACCGACTCCACAGCACCTAACAACAACGGCACACAATAGGTGTTCAATTAAGAAAAAATGAGAACCAAGAATCAAGAAGCCTAGTTGAGAATAAAACAGGAGGACGATCCGGTATTTCATTTCCTAATGTAGCCTGGCGTTTAAGAGCGTTGACTCTGGGGTTCAAACCAGTTCTGCCGTTTACATCTCTCTGCTTTATTTTCCTCATCTGTAAAATGGGATAATAGGGCTCTTCTCAGGATTAAATCAGTTCATATATGCAAAGCGCTTGGAACAGCGTTCTTAGTACCTTGAAGGCACAATCGTACTAATTTCTGTACAATACTCAAAACAAAGGAATCGATAATACTCTCTAAGCCGGGGTAGCCCAGGAGACAGGCGTGGAAAACTGTGAAGGCTGAGAAGGGCCAAGACTCCGCCACCTAGTCAAACGGAGCAAAGTCCTCTGGGAAATGTAGTCTTTCGGCTCTGGGAGATACTTCATCCACGGGCCGAAAAGTCAGGAAGTTGGGGGGTAGGTTGTGAAGGGGGAGGGTTATCAGATAACTCAAAAGTGTCGGGAGCCCCATAGATGGGTCTGAGCCACTCACCTGAGTCACCCAACACCAGCACCTTGACCCGATCCAGGGAAGCCATCTTCCCACTGCCTTCCGTGGGTTAACGCCTGTTCCGGGACTCTGGGCCAATCAGAGCTGTGCATAGAGGGCAGAGCCTTCAATTTCATTGGCCAGTCAGAGAGTGACTGTCCTGATTGGAGGCTTCACTGTGCTGATTGGCCGGCCTCGGTAAATGTAGCGTGTGAGCTCCAAAGCTGGTCGCAGGAATAAGGCGTCTTCGTTGTCGCATAGGTGGCGTGCTCGTTTAAGCCGGTAGTTAAGGCGCTGAGGGAAGCTGTAGTAGGGGTGTTCGAGGATTCTCTTCGGTAAAACTTGTTCCCAGTTCCCTGGCCCGACGTGGCATTTCAGGCTTTCTCCTCTTTTTCACTCCTCCCATCTTAACTATCCTGTTTTCCTTAGCTTCCCTCCTGATTTGGTCCTCCAAAGAACCGTTGACCCTGGAGCGGCCTGTGTGCGACCTCGGGTATGGCTGCGCCGAGTATGTCCACTGGACTCAACTGGGAGAGTCCTTGGGAGTTTGGGGTCTCGGCATCTCACAGTGGGGAAGAGCAAGCATTGCTGAACGGGTCACGAGGAGGGCAGCTGGGTCCGGAGGTTTCGCTGCAAAATGCCTCTTTACAGATGGAGGCGTGGAGAGTGCTGTGAAATATGGCAACAGAGAAAATCGCAGTTACATGTATAGAATCTCAGTTCTTCTAGAACTGGAATGAATGGTGGTATACTGAAATAATATAACAGGACTCCCGCATCCTCTTTTTCCTTTTCTTCACCCTTTTAGTCAGCATAATGTTTTAAAATCGCGAACTTGATCCTGTCACTCCTGCTTAAAACCATTTTAAGCTTAACAAGAGGGTGCACGGTAGCCTTTTCTTTTCCATTCTGGAAACAGAACTGGGGAAAGTGAATTGGGAAGCTGGCGGGGTGGGCATGTTGGAAGAAGACGTGTCTAGGAGATCTACTGAAAGTTTTATGGAAGTACTTGACTAGCTGTGCTGGGTGCTGGGAATTCAGTGATAAACAAGACAGTGCCTGCTCTCAGTTTACTGTTTTGGAGGTCGGGAGAGATAGACATAGAGGAAGTACAAGACTGTTGAGTGCAACTAAGAAGGGGACAGAGTTATGGGGATGTGTGAAAGGGGATCATTCTAACCTACCATGGGGAATTTGGGAAGCCCTCTCTGAGGAAATGTTGGGACTTGAAGGATGATTAAGAGAAAGAGGTTTGGACTTAGCTTTGGGGGTGGAGGGAACTGCTTGTGAAAAGGCCCTGAAGTGGAGAAAGCATGCGTGGCTCATGAAATTCAGAAAATGTCAGTTTGGCTGGAGATGAGGCTGACAAGGACAGACAGAGAGCGCATTTCTTTCAACTTTGTTTCTCCAGCTCTGTGCCTGGTACACAGTAGACTTCAACTATTTGTATGATTGGAATAAACAAACCAAAAAAAAAAAACAACCAGTTACCATTGGGTTGATTCCAACTCATGGCGACCCCATGTATGTCAGAGTAGAACTGTGCTCCATAGGGTTTTCGATGCTTGATTTTTTTTTTTTAATCGCCAGGCCTTTCTTCTTAGGTGCCTCTGGGTGGACTTGAGCCTCCAACCTTTCAGGTAGCAACTGAGTGCATTACTGTTTGCACCACCCAGGAACTCTGTGATTAGAATGCTATTGGTCGGTGCCATTGAGTCGATTTCAACTCATAGTGACCCCGTGTGACAGAGTAAAACTGCCCTTTAGGGTTTCCCAGGCTGCAATCTTTATGGGAGCAGATTGCCAGGTCTTTCTCTCATGGACCCTGAGTGGGTTCAAACTGCCAACCTTTCAGTTGTTGAGCACTTAACCTTTGTGCCACCAGAAATACATGGAATACAGAAAACAAAACCAAATTGCCTTTGGGTGTCTAGGGTAGTTAGGGAGACAGGTGAGGTTGGAAGTTCCTGATGGACTCTGAGGATGAAAAGAAAAAGCAAGCTGACACTCAGAGGTCACACCCTCAAAAGTCTCTACAGGCCAGCCGAGCTCCTTCCCTGTCTGAAAGTATCAATTGCTATTTAGCTGGTCGCTATGAGTCGTAATCAATTTGATGGCAGTGGATTTGGTTTTTCGGTTTTGTCTCCATGTGGTAATGTAGTCTCCTTTTTTTTTCCTCAGGTATTTTAAAGAGGAGCTGAAAGTAAAAACGTATGTGAAATCTCATAATTTTTAAATGTTGATAACCTACTGTAATTCAGAGTTTTTTTCAAAATATTCGTTGGGTCAAACAGTGTATGTGGGCTGCCAGTTTGAGATCTCTGATCTAACCTGTTGCTGTTGAGTTGATTCCAACTCATAGCGACCCTCTAAGACAGAGTAGAACTGCCCCATAGGGTTTCCAAGGAGCGCCTGGTATATTTGAACTGCCGACCTTTTGGTTAGCAGCCAGAGATAGTAGGAGATTCAGCAGGAGTGGGCAAGTGAAGTGGTGGAGGAGAGAAGGCAGTGGTTAGGAAGGATTTCAAAATGCAGAGATTTTGAATATAGTGGCCCAGCCTGGCTTCTTTCCTGAGCTCCAGTTTCCTTTGTTCAGCTAACTGCTGGACATCTTCACAGGAATATCAAGTGGTATTTCCTCAAAGACAGCATGTAAAAATGAATGCTTCATCTCTTCCAAACCTGCTCCTCTTCAAATGTTACTGTATCTCATAGTTGTACTTCTCTCTTCCTGTTTACACTGGCTCAAAACAGCTATTTTTAATTTTTCTAGTCTTCCATTTCCAATATATTGTTAGGTCCTTTTGATTTTATTTCTCTAATAGATTTCATTTATCCTGTTCTTGTAGTTTTTTGTTCTTTCTCAGTTCAGGTTTGATTACTCTAGCTCCTAATTCTGCCAGAGTGCTTCCACCTGCACTCACTTCAGTCAGTTCCTTACGTTGCTTTAAGAGTCACTTTTCTAAATAGGGGGTCTTATTAACGAACGCTGGAGTCCGTGGGTTGTGCAGATGGTTAACACACGCAGCTGCTAATTGAAAGGTTGGACGTTCAGGTTCACCCAGAGGCACCTTGGAGGAAAGGCTTGGCAGTCTGCTGCCAAAAAATCAGCCGTCGAAAACCCTATGGAGCACAGTTCTTCGCTGACACATATTGGGTTACCATGAGCCAGAATCAACTGGATGACAATTGGTGTTTTATGATGCCAATACTTAATCCAGCTCTTTTTATGCCAGCCCTGAAAGCAGAGCACTTTGTATGAATTATCTAATTTAATCCGATATATCACCCCTATGAGGAAGGCACTGTTAACCACTTTTTTATGTTTGAAGATGCTGAAGCTGAAAATTTTCTGTGGTGGCTGGGGGAGGGGCATTTCAGGCAAAAGGAAACAGGCTGAGTAATAAGAGAGTGACAAGTGCAGATGTGCATTGGCAGGCTGTGTAATAGCCAGGTGCCCAGTTTGTCTGGAGCAGTGGCCCATGACTTGCTGCACATTAGAGTCACCTAAAGAGTTTAAAAATTAGTGTGATGCCTAATCTGGCCCTCCCAGACCAGCTGAAACAGAATCGCTGGGAATGGGGCCCAAGGTCAGTATTCTTAAGATGCTCCCCAGATGCCTCTGCTTTACAGCCAGGTTAAGAACCACTGGTTTGGAATATGGGGAGTAGGGGTGTACGGGGGATACAACAGTAAGAAACTGAAAAGGTGGGTTAGAGAAGATCACAGACTACCTTGAGACATTTATTCTGTAGGTAACACGAGAGCCACTGAGGTGTCTGCAGGTATGTGTTCTGGAAGAAAAATTGCTCAGATCTGTGTTTTAGGAAACTGACAGCGGCGGGAAAGAAATGGCTGGAGGAGGCCAGAGGCATGTAATAGAAATGATCAGGTTTAGGATAGGGGTAATGGAAAAGACAGGAGCAAATGGAGAGGCATCTGGGTTTTAGCAGATTACTTTGGGACAGTAAGGAAAAGATAACCAAAAGATTTGAGAGTACTGTGTATGGAGAAAAACTTTACTTACATGTAGAATGACCTTACATCCAGTTTAACAAAAACAGTCCCAGTTTATGCCTGTCGTAGGTTGATTTCCTCCTGTTAATTATTTTTAGCATCCCCTTTCATTCTCAGAATGTCCCAGAATGGACAATAAGTTTTAAATACTTAGCTTACTTAAATGGATTCTCAAGTTGAAAATGTCAGCTGTTGTTTCTTTAGCAAAAGCCTTTAGAGACATATTGGAGACAGTCAGCTTTTGATTACACATGCTAATATGTAATGGTACATTGGATAGTTCCATACAGTAATCTAAAAGTTATGCTGTCCCTTCCAGCTATGACAGATACCAGACCAGGAGGGCACAAAGAAGGAGAAATGGTTTTAACCGAAGCTATGGGACTGGAAAGACAAAACATTAGGAAGCTAGTGGAAATGGTTTCTGCAGGGAAATCCTGGGTTATTTCTTCAGAAGGTTACATTTATTTGCATATTTCCTGTGCAAGAAGGTCTTTATTATATAAATTAATGTTAAACAGTGTTGAAATTTTAGCTGAGTCAGTCAGCACTTGCTTAGTCACACTGAATCCTTCCCAGGATTGAAAATGATAACAGTGATGATTTGTTCGTCTGTTTGCCTCTCTAAAGTAGAATCAGCTTTCCTTGCTGTGAACTTACATAGTTTTTCTTTAATTTTATACGTTTGGATACCTTAGCCTGGCAATAAAGGCTTTCTACTCTGATTCCAGTCTTTCTTTTTTCTTTAAATCATCTAACCTTCTGCTTCATGATCTTCCTATTCCAACAATTCTCAAAAATATCCTGGTTTTTTGTTTCTGTTTCCTTTATTCTTGCTATTCTGTTTCTTCTACCTGGAAGACCTTATTCTACCCATAGATGCTCATCCCCTGACTTTTCTCTGCTTATTGACCTCCTCTTTATCATTTAGGACACAATTCAAATATTGCCTTCTCCATGAATCTTTATTTGACTAGTTTTTTTTCTTCCTTTGCACATCTGAGTACTTTCTGTCTTCGTTATAGTTCTATCAGTTTTTTTTTTTTTTTTTGACTTGCCTTAATAGACTAAAGACATCCATTGCCATCAAGTTGATTCCGATTCATAATGACCCTATAGGACAGAGTAGAACTGCCCTGTAGGGTTTCCAGGGAGTGGCTGGTGGATTTGAACTGTCGACTTTTCGGTTAACAAGCAGGCTCTTAACCAGTGCGCTGTCAGGGCTCCAACAGACTAAATATAGGGATTGTTTATCTGTCTTTTTGTCTTGTACTACAACCTACACATGGGGTAGTTAGTAACTGTTCATTAAATTAATACTTTAGTTCATTTTTGAGACAGGAGTAGGGGAAATGATCTGCTTTTAAAGGAACAGTTTGAGTTCATGATGATTATTATTTGACATTTTTCTGCCATTCTTTGGTCTGTTGGATATTTCCGAAGCGCATATGTTGGGTTCTGCCAACTGTTGAGCGTGTAGAACAAAACAAAACTAGGTTCAGGTACAGTGTATAGACCAAATTGGAGAGAAGAACAAAATGTGCCCTACTGGGCTATGATACTACTTTAGTGTTGAATCTCAGCACTTGCCTGTCATCCTTAAACCTTGGGTTGACAGAAAGGTTCTAGGACCATAGGTTTGGATCAGGGGAACTAAACTGCTGCTGAAGTTTTGTATTTATTTGGTCTGAGAGTAGATATATAGGATGTTCCACAAGCTCTAAATAATAATTTGGTTGCTGTTTCTGTAAATATCCATGAGCACCTGCATAACCATCCTCCAAAAGAAGGGTAAGTCTACCTTTTTCTTACGCGCAAGTGTAGGTAAGAGAAAAATTGGAAGACTGCTTAGTGGATGGGAAGAAAATGAATTTATAGGTGAGTGAAAAGGGAAGTTGTCAGTGAAGTATACACAGAATCTAAGTCTGTTAGGAAAAAACAAAACATCATTTCATAGGCATTTAGAGCAGACTTTCAAGGGGGGCATTTTGGAAGTTGTGGGAGCATGTTTTGGTTGTCACAGTGTTTGGGAGTCTGCTGGTGGTATTCAGTGGGTGGGGACTAGCAGTTGCTAGGTGCCTTGCAAAGAACAGGATATTTCCATACAGTAAAGAATAGGCTAACGTAATGATCAGATGTCCTGCTGGATATTCATGTAGGAGAATGACTTATTTAAGCCTAGAACACAATTCCTGCTTTACAGAGAAACACAAAGTGTTTTTGTGTTGCTTTAATATATAATGGATATGTTAGTTCTTATTCAAGTGTCCACTTAAACTTCTGCTCTTTACGTTTCCTGTGCTTTTTGTATGACTGGCTTCTGATCTTTGCACTTTTCTAAAATTGTTCACTTTATATATATATATATATATATAAATGAAATTTATATATGAAATTATATATGTATATGCATGCATGCATCTTGCTGCTTTACTATCTTGTGTATAGTCATGCCTAAGTATTTATAATCTGCAGCATATATTTTATTCTAAATGATTCTTTTTTATTTTTTCCTTTATTACAAATGGAAACCCTGGTGGTGTAGTGGTTAAGTGCTGTGGCTACTAACCAAAAGGTCTGCAGTTTGCATCCATCAGGCACTTCCTGGAAATTCTATGGGGCAGTTCTACCCTGTCCTGTAGGGTTGCTATGAGTCAGAATCAGCTCGACAGCAATGGGTTTTAGTTTTGCGGGTTTTTATTACAAATAGGGCATTATATTTTCCCCAAAAAATAAGTGTATAGGTTGGCCACTTAGGAATTTCTTTTAAGTACAGTAGTGTGGATATAAAAATATTTCTTATAAAAATGGGTATTGAATCTCAGGGTTGATAACCACTATTTCGTATAAAAGTTTCAATAGAAACTAATATTAATAACAGAATATAATTCCCCATTGAGATAACTCAGAAGGATGTCTGTTAAAAATTTCCCCATGGAGTAGGGAAGTTTCACTCAATGTAGTCTGTGTGGATCGCCTGACCGTTTTTAGTTTGAAACATATTAAATCGATAGGGAAGCTATCCTTGTCAACAAGTGCTTTCTAAACACTTCATTCACATATGCATTTATTCTTCACAGCAACCCCATTGAGGCAGATTGTGTTATCCTTATTTCTCAGAGAATAAAGGGTAGCTTGAAGTTGTTTAAAGGATTTGCTCTGGATCACACATTTACCAAAACGCAGGCTTTTTAACAACCACATGGAAGTCTAGCTCATGCCAGTTTGGGCTTTCAGAAGACAGCTTTCTGGATTATGATATGGAAATTGAGTACACTTAGCTTCTGCTTTGTCCTACAAAGGATCTGGTATTTAAAGATATCCTGGGCTATTTTTCCCCCTTTCTTTTTTTTAAGGACTGTACAGTATTTCCTTAGTTGATTATCAGATTTAAGTTTGCAAGGTTGGTAAGGTTGCCTAGAACTGAAGGTGTTAATTTCTTTCTGTTTGACAACAGTTAATGATTTTGCCAACACCCCAACTGGTGATGACTTGTGCATTTATTGGTTTGCTGTGGTTTTATTGTGAGATCATGACTATGTAAAACATCCTAGAATCTATCTTGGTAGAAAAATTTACTTAAGAAATAAAGACACTTTAAGGATCTGTGACTGCTAGGATTCTCAAGGGATTTCTAGCACTCCTGAAGATCTCTATCATTAAGAATAGTGAACACTTCAATTTAGCTTTTTTTGTGTTTTTTCTTTCTGAGATAAAGTGGACTTGATATATCATTGTTTTAACTAATAAATTACTGTTAGGAATCAAGCACACAGTAGCTCGTGGAAGTAGTCATGTAAGAAATGTGTCAGGCTTTATAAGTGTAATCTTTTGTGCACTCTAGAGGAGTATCTTGCTCTGCTGTGTTAAATGTCTAGGCATTGCAAGTCTTTTAAAACAGTGTTTGAGTATCTTTGTGGCACTCCAAGAGTAGTGGTAGCCATCAGCTACTGGTAATGAGTTGCTTATTCTAGATTTAAAATGATTACCATATCCTTATGCCTAGCTAATCTTGCCCACTTTTTTTCTCAGTTCAGTAATTTTGAAGTTGAAGTTTGCTGATAAAGATGGCGGACCCAGATGTCCTCACCGAGGTTCCTGCAGCATTGAAGAGGTTAGCCAAGTATGTGATCCGGGGGTTTTACGGCATTGAGCATGCCTTGGCCTTGGACATTTTGATTCGGAACCCCTGTGTGAAAGAGGAGGATATGCTGGAGCTGCTCAAGTTTGATCGGAAGCAACTTCGATCGGTCTTGAATAATTTAAAGGGAGACAAATTCATCAAATGCAGAATGAGAGTAGAGACTGCTGCAGATGGGAAAACCACTCGCCATAACTACTACTTTATCAATTATCGTACTCTCGTTAATGTGGTAAAATATAAGTTGGACCACATGAGAAGGAGGATTGAAACTGATGAGAGAGATTCCACCAACCGGGCTTCCTTCAAGTGTCCTGTCTGTAAAAGTACTTTTACAGACTTAGAAGCTAATCAGCTTTTTGATCCTATGACAGGTGAGGTTTATCTAGTTTATGAATCTTTTAAGTAACTTTTAAAAAAGAATCGTGTACCCTTTTACTTAAATTGACTCATCTAATTTTTAAGCCAGTCGTGTACATCATTATAAAAGTGACTGGATCAGTGTGAGTCAGCATCAAGTCATTCGTAGTCTTACTTCCCTCTTTGACTGTCACGCTTCTTTGAGAAGCTTTGGCTAGCCTTTCTCGTTCACAGGGGAGTGTACCCATCCATGACTGTTCTCTCACCCATGGCCCTCATTGACCACTGCAGCCTGATTTAAAGGTTGACTTCTCTGCTACTTTTGAGGCTATTCTGACAACTTTACTTTTGACTTCTTCATTCAGCAAATATTTGAGCACCTACTTGTACAAGTTGCTGCCAAAGAGTTACAATTCACCGTACTTAACTGCTTTTGTTAGTGGAAGTACAAAGTGCTATAGGGTATATTGCTAGGGTATGTAATATGGTCTCAGGATTTGAGGAAGGCCTCTAGAAGAAGTAACAGCTGAGACCTTACAAATAAGTCAGAGTTAGCCAGATGAAATAAGTTAACAAGTAGATAGATACTTAGTGTCTCTTAGCAAGGCATTAATGGAAGGGAATTATAAACAAAAGATAAATAATTTGTCTCATTTAATGAAATACTTTTGTTTTAAGTATTTTCCTTATCAACTCAGACTTTTAACAAAGCTTGCGTTTTTACAATATGTATGTCTAGCGTTAAAATGAGAAACTTCAAAGTGTTGGGTTATATAGTTATTTTGTCATGATGTTATTTGAAAACTGGAAAAGAGACTGTAGCTTTGCTGATTATTGGATCAATGTTCTATTATTTTCTAGATGTAAAATCTGTAGGAAGAGCCAGTGCGGTTAAGTTAGATTGTCCCTTTCTTATGGCTGAATTCAGGAATATAGGTTACTTTTAACTCACAGGTCTTTTTAAAACTTTATTGGAAATTTTTAATTTAAACTTTCACACACGAAATATTTTGTTATAAAGACATTACAGGTTTGTGCACGTGTTTAATTTTCTAATTTTTGCATATGTATGTATTGTGCATTTTAAATAATTTGTAATTATGTTTTTAAAAATGGGGGGGAACCCAATATCAGTTAAGATTATTGACAAAAAGAGCTGGAGATAGCGTATGACCTTTTTTTTTCCCTTATTTATTGTAATACAGTCATTTTGGAAAAAAGTCCTTTAAAAAATTGACAATTGTATTAAGTGTTTAATTTGTCCAAACCTAACTATTTACCTTGAAACGGACTTAACTAGGATAGATCTTGGTTATAAAACAAACCTTAACCATCCTGGGTATGAGAATTGTTTGAGTGAGGGATAGAGGAAGGTTTTAGAATGTATCTGGAGCTCTTTCTAAATAGAAAAGTCTCTCGTGATTTTTGCCATTCACTATATCAGCTTTCCTAAAGGAGCTCTGGGTTTTGGTTTTGTGATTCTCTGCAGATGTTGGTGTTTCAGTGGTCCAGTCTCCATCACCGCGGTGGAAGGTGTCATCCAGCCCCTCAGAGAGGGTAATCTAAAGTAACGTGCTTCTACTACATTCACTCATCATTTAGTGCTTATTTAATTTCATGAAACTTTCTAAAAGAAGGCTGTTCTACTGCTTATAGATCAGTATTTAGGTGATTGTTCCATGATGCTCTTTGCATTTCATCTAGGGTTATTCTCTGAATGGAACTAGCTGCAATCCATAGATGGCCCATGGAAGAGATGGTCTAAAATTCTAGAGAAACACAAAAATATAGTCCAGATTATTTGAATCAGGGAGTTGAGATAGGGAACAAGAGAACATTTCGTAAAAGAAAGCTAAACTGAAACAATTATATTGTGGCCAGTCTGAATGAAGGGGTACAGGAGAGCAAGAATAAGTCACTTAACCTTACTATCACTTAGGTGAACGTGCCCTAATCCGCCAACACTAATATTTGCCTTAACTGACAGTTACATCCCTACCAAACCAAAACCAAACCAATTGCCAGAGTCAATTCAGACTCAGCGCCCCTATAGGATAGAGTAGACCTGCCCCGTAGGGTTTCCAAGGAGCAGCTGATAGATTTGAACTGCTGACCGTTTTGTTAGCAACCAAGCTCTTAACCACTGTGCCACCAGGACTCCTATTTTCCTATAGTGAAGCCTGAATTTGTAATGACTGGGAACCTTTGTTCTGAGAACGTACTTGCCTTTTGATTATAATTTGGCTTCTCATTTGAACTTTTTCCTTTAAGGAGAAAATGTGCTGATTAGGTGGTATTAGGGCCTAGTCGGCTTGTCAGTTCTGTTTGTTTGTTTTTTTTGTTTTGTTTTGTTTCAGTTTTTCACTATCTATTAATATCTTGACATCCTTTCTTGGTCTATATATTCCCTTTAGAAATCTTCGTGGTTTTCCTTTTGTTCCCTTCTTGTTTTGCTCAGTAGTCGTGCTCCATTATGAAGAAGATGGGGAATAAACATTTGGTGTGTATAGTGGGGAGGAGGGCACTATCTTTTTCTGCTGTAATATTTATGTTTTGTTTAAATAGATGGAGTTTTCATTCAGAGCTCAGTCCTATACTCTCAGCTATCCTGTCTCCTGGTTGTTAATCCTTAAAATTGACTGTATTTCTGATTAATTGATGGGAGTATCTGATGGGCTTCCAGCTCCATTTCCTTATCAACAGCTTTTAGGTTGAACGGTGGATTATGTTAGCAAGTAGAGGGTATTCAAGAAGTTGGTAAAAAGTTCTTAACTCGAGAACTTTCTATGGGCATCTTGCCACTCAAGCTGGATGAGCTCCTGAGGAACATCTGAGATGCTGGGCTCAGAAAAGTGAGCCCAGCCAGGGTTGTGTTACTGGTGTTCATTCACACACAACCTAAGTATTTTCCCATTTCAGTTCACAGCTTTTTTTCCCAACTCCATCTCTTTTTCCTAAAGATTTAGATTCTCTATACTTCCCATTCAGACTTTGTCTTTGGTGCTTCTGGTTGAGCTCCCTCCAGATGTGTGGTGCTTGGTGTGATTCTTTATTTCATTAAATGAAAAAACCTAGCTTTTGCCCATCAGTCCCTGGTTTCAGAAATTCAGTCAAGCAAAACCAGATGTTTTAGTCCCTGAAATATGGGGATTCTATGGAATCAAAACAAAGACAACCTGATATGACATCCCTCAAATCAGTAAAATAGCATCTTGTGGTTCATAAATACATGTTTTAGATTTAGAAATCTTTCTGACCAGGTACACACACTTAATATTTCTGTTTTAGCAATTTCAACTGTGAATGATTTAGTTAATGGTACTTCTCAGTTAAGTTCAGCAACATGCTTCCCAAAAGTGGGGGATGGGGTGAGATTGTATTCTTCTTTTAGGTGTTTAGGCTAGAAGATATGGAAATAGCTTTATATTTTCCATTTTTAATTTAAAGATTATGTAACTGTAATACCAGAGAAAATTTGGAAGAGAAAAATGTCTCTCCCAAATCCACCAGCCTTTTGCATATAACTTTCTAGTTTTGGATTATATGAGCATGTGTTTTTATATATTTGCAATCATAGCCTAGAGTAGTTTACAATCTGTTGGTTCTTTATACACCAAACTATCTTCTTTCTATCTAGTGTTCAAAATATGTTTTAATAGGTCCGATTTTCCTGCCTTCCATTCCACCCCTTTTGGGTACTTTGACTTTATCTGTTTTTTTGCTAGTATAGATAAGATGCTTTGAATACCTTTGTATATATAGCATTTTATTCCTTTTAAGTTTTTCCTTAAGAATTCCCAGTAATTGGAATATTGAGCCAAAGGGTATAATTTTATGGTTTCTCTAAAGGCATATATGCATTGTTTTATTGTGGGTGGGGTAAAAATTGTTAAGTGTTTGAATTAGAAATAGTTTGGGAGCCCCTATTACTGAATTCCCCCACGCGTCTATCAGTTTGTCCTACTGTGGAGGCTTGCATGTTGCCGTGATGCTGGAAGCTATGCCACCAGTATTCAAATACCAGCAGGATCACCCATGGTGGACAGGTTTCAGCTGAGCTTCCAGACTAAGACAGACTAGGAAGAAGGACCCGGCAGTCTACTTCTGAAAAGAATTAACTAGTGAAAACCTTTTGAATAGCAGCGGAACATTATCTGATATAGTGCCAGAAGATGAGCCCCTCAGGTTGGAAGGCACTCAAAGTACGACTGGGGAAGAGCTGCCTCCTCAAAGTAGAGTCAACCTTAATGATGTGGATGGAGTCAAGCTTTCAGGACCTTCAGTCTCTGATGTGACATGACTCAAAATGAGAAGAAACAGATGCAAACATCCGTTAATAATAGGAACATGGAATGTACGAACTATGAATCTAGGAAAATTGTCAGAAATGAAACGTAACACATAAACATTGATATCCTAGGCATTAATGAGCTTAAATGGACTGGTATTGGCCATTTTGAATCAGATAAGCATGTGATCTGCTATGCTGGAAAGACAGCCTGAAGAGAAATGGTGGCACATTTATTGTCAAAAAGAACATTTCAGGGTCTACGCTGAAGTACGACACTGTCATTGATAGGATAATATCCATACGCCTACAAGGAAGACCAGTTAATACGACTATTACTCAAATTTGCGCATGAACCACCAAGGCCAAAGATGAAGCAATCAAAGATTTTTATCAACTTTTGCAGTCTGAAATTGATCAAACATGCAATCAAGATGCATTGATAATTACTGTGATTGGAATGCAAAAGTTGGAAATGCAGAAGGATCAGTAGTTGGAAAATATGGCCTTGTGATAGAAACGATGCCAAAGATCACATGATAGAATTTTGCAAGACCAACGACTTCTTCATTACAAATACATTTTTTCACAACCATAAATGGCGACTATACACGTGGACTTCGCCAGATGGAATACACAGGAATCAAATCAACTACATCTGTGGAAGGAGACGATGGAAAAGTTCAATATCATTAGTCAGAACAAGGCCAGGGGCCGACTGCAGAA